CCTGCTGACTGTGCAAAATTTATATCTTATGGATATTGCCATAAAAATTCAGTTATAATCAATACCAAAATTTAATCAATATCAAAATTTTCACACCAAAATAGTCACAATTTAGGAGGATACATAATGTCATTAGAATTATGATGATATAGTAATTATATCATATTTTAAACTGATGTAAAATATATTTGAAGATACAATAGGTTTCTATGAGGTAATAGAAAAATTAAAGATTTGTATCTCTGGGTAATTAAATATGTCAGTCACCAACACAAAAAACCCTGACTGACCTTTGTCTTTTAAGACTGCAAAAATGAGCTTTCCGCACACCAGTAGCACACAGAGAACACATCAGATATGGCGGTGTGGGGGGAGGTTAGGGAGTCCAAACCTCCAAACTGAATCAGTCAACTACAATAAGCAAATTCCATCAGCTTGCTGCAATTTAATCTACACTACAGTTAAAACACATCTCAGACTGGAACAAAGCAAAACCTGATGCCTTCTCATTATCTTCTCAAACATATTTTAATAAAAAACAATCAGGGGAAAAGCCCCTAGAATCATAAACAATTTAAAATGTCACCTGACTTATAGTGAAGGTATAAATTTCTGAGTTCTGACTGGTAACACCCTCTAACATAAAGACAATTACAGCCAAGGGGAAAAAAACAAAAGCAACAATTTGTAAACCAATTACCGTTACATAAGTTTTGCGATACCGTGTATTTGACTGATGCAACTACAAACACGGTCATCCATCATAAAGAATTTAAGTTACTAAAAATAATAAACACTTATCTCATCCTGGCTGTTATTATCAATGATGTTAACGTAGCAATAACACAGAAAAGACAGGCAGATGATACACAGGAAAAAATACACAGTAGAAAATTCCAGGAACTCAGATAATAATTATTTAAAATGGCTTTTTACATGCAATGACAATTAAAAACAATAAAAGTAATTAATGTGAAGAACTGAGACTATGACTTGGCATGGACATTGTTTCTTAATAGAGAAATGAGATAAGGATGGGACTGGCTAAGAGGCATTGATTCTTTTTGTCCAGAAGTTGTCACTTGCGTTTTCCAAACTGTTTTAGCCTTATTTCTCCAGTGTTTCCATGATGACTTACTATGTTTCATAAATAGTTTATAAAAAAAGTCTACTTCACCTGTAAATTGGCTCCTGTTTAATTTTAAATCACTCACTTATTAAAGACATATATATTTTAATCCAATGGACACCTATCCCGGAGTTAACATTTTACACCATGCCTTCCTGTAACTATTTCTGTTACCAGCCTATCCAGCAAAAAATAGCTACCGATTTTTTTCTAGAAATAAACTTCATGATAAATACACTTGGCTTTTTAATCAAAGAACAGAACAAAGTCGCATCAAGGACCAAACTGATTCTCACACAACTTTCTATCCCCACTGCTTATTCTGTTAACTCAGACTCCAGTTTTGTCACAATTTCAAAATCACAGAAAATGGCAGAGCTTGTCTTGCTGTAATCACTAGCCATCTACAGCATTGTCTAGAGCATTACAGAATCACACATTTCTTTTCTGCAAATAGGCACAATTTCTATAGGACTGCTGCAGAATGATCTTCTTGAACATGAAACTCCCCAAGTAAAGGAAAGAAACAAGCCTCCTACCCCTGGGGTGAGTTCTCCAGCAATGAAGTTGTTGGAAAGAAAAAAACACGGCTCCAGCCATTAAATTTTTTTTTTTTCTTAATCTTTTAAGACATCACTGCATGTCCTTATTCTATCAGTGTGGAAGAGGGCACCTATTAGTCAGAGCCCCTCAGAAAGCCTGGGCCCAAGTTTCTAGATCCATGTTTCTAGATCCTTAGTGCTTTTAGACATGTACATGCAGCTGCTGAACTCTGAGATGCCCCAGACCTTTCAGCCAAAGGCTAAGGGGAATGCTAGGACTGGGAAGAAAAAAAAGAAAAAAAAAAAGAAGAGGAGGAAGAAGAAAATAACCACAATTCTTTCTGAAATGGAGGCCACTCCAGGAAAAAAAGACTGTAATGGGGCAGAGTAGTAACTAACAGACCAGTACTTGCTCAGGGAGACAAAAATGTACGGATACAAGTAACTAAGAGAAGAAATGAATGCAACGGAATGGAGAGCCATGTGCAAAAAGAAGATGGCTTGAAAGTATTTTGGCACTCTTGTTAACTCTCTCAGTTATTAAGTGCATTGTTTTTTCATCCAAATAAGTACATTTTCAATAACCTACATTTGTATCAATGCTAAATGGAAAAAATTTCCCATGGTTCCAGAAGGGGTTTTGAAAAATTAGTATGAAAAATCTACCTTAAACAGAACACATTCCCTATTTTTTTTTCCATTTTAATTACGAAACTTTCCTAAGAGAGAATTTCCTTGCCTCTCATTTTTGCAGTTTTAAATATTGCAAAAAAGCAAACATAATTTGTCACCTTGACATAGCTGATTGAAGCTATTCACAGTAAAAATGATACTCTGAAAAGATATACATACCTTGCAAAGTCTAATGAGGGGCAAACAGTCTGCTCTATGAACCTGGGATGCTCCCTTGGGCTTTGCAGGATTGCTTGAGGCAACACATTCATTTTAACTAAAACAAACAAAAAGAAACAACCTTACTTGAAACAATGTCTTCACAGTGATGCAGTTTCTTACCTTTCTTGTGCTGCTTCCCAGTCAACCGTCTTTTATTTCCAGTGCATTCTGTGTCGAATTCGACTCCAGTTACACACAAATCTTTTCAGGCCTCAGCATTACTGCAGTAGGACATAATGCATAGCAAAGGCCATGATCTTGCAATGGTTTTCTCTCTTTCATTGGTGTGTTTTTGATTTGCACAGGGACAACAGATTCAGGAACCTTACTTGGAAACTTACAGGAAACTTATCTTACTTGTGATTCCCTGTGCTTCCTCAAGCTATCTAGGTCCAAGTATTAATAATGTTTTAAGTTAATACATAAGGTGGAGAAACAATTGAACATGCAGTGTGCAATGCAACAACAGGAACTGTATTAACATTCAAAATAATACATAATCATAATAGTAACAATGCTTTGAATAAAAAATGTAAGTAATGCTATACTTACAACACAGGGTTTTACTTAAAACAAAAGCCAAAAGCCCTGCACGGATGTAGAATTGTCTAGCTCGTCATTTTGAAGTACATAAATGCTAATAGGACTTTTTTGTCATATGGAGCTACTGTGTTTTTTCCCCAAGTATTCAGTCTACTCTTCCTACCATTAAAGTTTCAGCTGCCAGTTCCTTCATTTTGCATGTCTGTGATCTGAGGACGTTAGCAGCAGGAGCACCCTTACTTTTAAATTTGGTTTAATGTAGGTATTGCATGCCCTGCTGGCAGGCCTCAAGGCACAAACTTTTAATAGGGATGGGAAAACAGAATATAATGGGGGTGGGGGTGTGGGAAGGCAAGGGAAGAATTTAACTATTTGCTACATTACATGAAAGGAAATGTATTTTACAGGAAATAAATGTTAGATATGAATCAACTTGATACTGAATGATAAGCATCACACTAGCAGATATTTTATATATTAGCGTTTCTGGGATCAAAAGCTGTTTCATTGATACAGTATTTTGCTACAATTACAGTGAAGTAATTTTTAAAATTGTGTTACTTAGAATGGAATAACAAAGGTTGAACAGATGACAAGATATGGTATTTTCCCTAAGTCATTGTTTCAGGCTTAGCATTAATGACAACATTTGTTACAGAAAGAAAAAAAATTATAAATAAAGTAATCTACAGTTGGAGGCAGCGACATTTCACACAAGTGTGTCACGGAAAAAAAAAATCAATAGAATAAAAACATATGTCTAATTCATCACTATAAAAGATCATACTTCTTACAGCGAATAACAGGTTTGTATCCAGAAGCAATACAGAAAGGAAAATCTCTTTTTAGGAAGATGCTATTCACTAAGAAATAGTAATTGAACTTTGGAACAACAATACTGAAGCCCAGAGAAGATGCAAAGCTTTCTACAAAGCCTCTTAGTTTTGAGTTATTAAGTGAGAAAAAGCAAACAAACCATGTTTTAATGGCAACTGTTGAATTTGGCACAGCAGGAGAGCTACCCATCTGCAGTTCTGGGGCAGAAAAGGCAGAGGTAAGCAGCTGAAAAGAAACTCTGAAAGCCCTGGTAGAACCACTGCAACCATGAAAAGCTATCAACAGGTAAGTGTACTTTGTGGCATGCCACAGGTCTCCTGCTCCAGGCTGCACCCACATGGGACCTGTCTGGACCACGCAATAGCTCCACACTGGCCCACATGCTCCAGGTTCCCACCCTGCAGAAATCAAGTATATGGTTGTTTCGGTTTCGGCTGCCGCCGGCAACAAAAACGTCACGCGGCCGCCCCTCCCCCCGCCGCGGTGCAGAGGAGAATGGAAAGAAAGAGGCAGAAACTGGGGGGTCGGGATAAGGGCAGTTTAACAGAACAGCAAACAGAGGGAAACAGGAACAACAACGATACAGATAAGGGGAATACACAGAACAGACCGCACGACCCCACAGACCTGCTCTCCCGGACAGGACCAGCGCTGCACGCTGCCGAGCCGCGAGTAAGTTCCCGCCGCGCCGTTTCCCCCCCTGCCACCGGAACTCAGCATGGCGGCACATGGTATGGAATACCGGGCTCTGTTTGGCCAGGTGGGGTCAGCCCCCACCCCCCGGCTGTGCCCCTTCCTGGAGTCCGGTGAAAATTAACCCTGTCCTGGCCAAACCCAGGACACC